TGCATGCATGATCCCTAACCATCTGGTCCTCTAATACTCTCGACCGAACTAGTAGGCTATTTTACAAAACCAAACGACATGTATGGTTCCCAAGCTCACCATCCATGTTAGGACTACCTGGCCAAGGTGTCGTAAACCACTTATGGACTACTATTTCCCCTTATTACAAGTAATTGGGGTGTCGTTACTCTAATACCGCATCCTGCAGATGCTAAGGAGCATAGTCTCTAACTCCGCACCCTTTTGGGTACTAAGGAGAGTAAGTGCTGTACCTGGCGTCCCGAGGTGCCAGCAATGCCATATGGACTTAATCTTCACTATCTCCACTAAGGTGACCTCCCACCCTCTAATATGCCACATTTCACTACATATCTCCACTTGAACATGCATAAAAAACTTTCTAAACAAATATAACAAAATTTTATCATTTACTTCAAAAATATAGAATTTTACAAATCAATACTCCACTTTTTCTAAAATAGTTAACCTTTAAAGAATTTATGCATATATCCTCAACTAATCATAGAAAAGCAACTTGAGAATAACTTATACAAGGTAATAAACAATGCAAATTATCTAGTTACCTTAACCCTTTTGTTACTAAAAGGGTTACCCGTGGTACTAAATTTCTTCTTGTGTCAGGGTAAGTCTTCTCATACCACAATCTACATTAACAAGTACTATTTATTAATTTTGAATTAATACAAGCACCATTAGCTAATAATAACCTCCCAATTCTCCCACTTCTCACTCAAATTCTCAACAAATAGACTTGTCAAGATTAAAATTTATTCACATCATCCCTTCAAATCTCCTTCTAACTCTATCACAACATAAAACTCAATATCTCAACTTATCACACTTCAACACCCTATGATCAAGTGAGGGCTTGAACCAACTTCCACTAAACAAGAAAGTAGCTTCCTATTACCATATATCCAAGATCAATAAACCTAAATTAAACCTTTAGAGTCAATAGAAACTTTCAAAACATTGACTTATGGCTTAATCTAATCTGACCAAATTCTCACTCTTCTAAATCTCATGGAAAATGAGATAAAAAGGTAGAGGAGAAGGGTAGGAAACTTACCCAAGAGTTTGAAAGCTCAAATGATCTTTAAAATCCTTCTAAATTGATGCCTTAGTAGTGCCCAAAGTTGCCTCCTTTGTGCTCTAGGTTTTTCACCCCAAAATCTGTCAATTTTTGATGATTCTTGAAAATTTAAGTTACTTGCTGTGCCGTGCGCCATAGCACACACCACGCAAGTCATAGCTCATGAGGCAGTGAGCAACAACTTGATTTTGCTCCCCTCAGTACCTCCTGACTTGATCCAACTTTCATCCTATCTCAATTTAGAGCTAAATATGACCCAAAAATCCAATTAACCACACAAAAATATAATTAAATAAATTAATTATATTTTTAACTAATTTATCCCTTAATTAATCCATTTTTTTAGATTTGAAGTTTTAGGATGTTACATGTTGAGGGTGCACAGTTGTTATTTTTATGACCCTATGTTATGTTTTTGCTAAATAACATGATAAAGTGTTTTATGGCAAGCTCGGTCACATAGTTGCTAGTTTTGTGAACCTTAGCTGAGTGTTATGTGCTGTTTATGCTTATTTGCCTAATTGCATCTATTTACAGTTAATATGCAACTGTATAGGTTAAGTGAAACTTGATTTCTTAGTGGTTGTACTCACCCCTCAATTCTCAACATTTTCAGGACCTAGCTCATCGGATCTGAGTCAAGAAAAACAAACAAAGGCTTAGGATTTATGGAGTAATCCTCTATATACCTCTTTTTTGTTACTTTCATGTGTATTTATTAATGTAATTTCCAACTAGGATTATTTGACATGATTTATGCATTACTTGCATGATTTTGTGTGTAACTAGTGTATTTTGTGTCTTGGGTTAGTGAGTTTTGGTTGTGAACTCATGGATAGGGTCAAAATACTTGTGCAAGTAGAAACATATGTATTTTGAGAAATTTAGAATGAATTGTTGACATTGTGCAACATTTCCTCCCCCTCTATGTTTTTATGAAAATCAGGGTTGAGTGGTGATTTTATAAGATAAGTGTTTTTGATTGTTTATGGTGCCGCAAGAGTCTATTGAATGTGGTTAGATGGTTAGTGTGAGCTAATGGCACGTGTAGTTGAGTTGGGACATCCCATTTGTGAAATTTTATGGAAAAGTGGTCGAAATAGGTTATAGTGTCCAACTTTTTATAAAAAATAAGTTTAAGTGTGAAATTAGTGCCATTAGCTAGAAGTGGGAGAAAACTCTAAGTAAATACTGAAACCACCTCAACCAAATGTTGGACAGAGATTTGGGATGTGTTAAAAGTTCGCACCCTGTGCTATCAAATGACAGCACTGATGCTATCAAAATTCATGTAATGCATCACGGCGTATGGCACAATGAAGACAACTCACAGCGCACATGCCGTAAGCCATAGCTCACATGATATTTTCTTCACAAAATCAATTTTTGAGTTTTAAAACTCATTATTTTAGGTCCTAGTTGATTTTCAAGCTTCTATTTTACTTTCAAAACTCTAATACAAACTTATTAAATCATGTTTGAAAATTGAATTGTTGGGATTAAGATTTCTTTAAAAGAATTTTGAGAAATTCTTCTTATAAAACTTTATAATTTGGTAATCCTTTAAAGGTTAAACCCTAGATTGTCATGATTTGGAGTCAATTATAGTTTAACCTGTAGGAGGTTACATGTGGCTATATGATTCTATATTCTGTATTAGTGGAAAAGTGGAGAAAAGTGACGAAACAAGTGAAATGGTTGATATAAATGATATTTGAAAGAAAACATGTGATATATTATGTTTAACAATATATTATGCTTTACTTTCATACAGTTGCATGTGATAGTTAATAAGAGTGAATTATTCTATTACTAAGATTTTTATCTTGCCCCCATGGTTACATTTTTACAAGACAGAGCAGCAATCAGGGTAAGGAAAAAGGGTTTGTGCTGACTTAAAGTATTAAAACCCTGTAAGCTGAGAGTTTGTATAATGAACTAATCTGGTATGAATTATACATACATGAGTTGCCATAGGGTTGCTTGCATGTGTTGAGTAGTGATTTAATGGAATCTTGGCTCAATTATGTATATATGTGGTGAATGGAATAAAGGGCTAAGATTTTAAATGTGTATGTGTGAAAATATTATGAATATTGGTGAATCTTAAGCCCATATGTAAAATTATGATGAAATAAATAATTTGGGGCTAAGATTGAATTATGATAAGGTATGGATGTGGTTTTATGTGAATGTGTAGAGAAAAGGGCCAAGTTGTGCCAAGTATTGGTAAATTGTGAAAGTTTGTGAAATGTGAAAATTGATCGTTGAGGGGTCAAAATTTAATATATGCATATGTTTTGATATAATATGGTTAATCAAGTGTATTAGGTCCTTTTGGACTTGAATCAAGGCCTTGTGTGGTCTAATGACAGAAAGGGATCAATTTGCATGCTTAAGTGCATAAAATTTTCAAAAAAAGTGACTTTTTGCAACTAGGCGTCTAAATTTTGATCAGGCTATTAGATCATTTTTAAACCTATCTCATTAGCTAGCTTATAAGATAAGCTTCATGTGAGTGCTTGAATCACTCAGATCAAACGTCAGATGTGAAAATGACGCATGTTGGAAGTTCATCATTTTGCTGTCAAAATGATAGCAAAAATTTTGAATAGGTACACCATGGCACATAGTGCCACATGCCATGACGTATGGCACAAAAATTTAGGCATGTGGCTCTATACCACATGCCGTAGTACACATACTGCATGCTTGATATTATGATTTTAATGCATGCAATTGGTGATGTAAATACATATGAATTGTTTCCACTGTGTATTGCTCAAAGGCATTGAGGTTTTGATGATGTTTGTGAAAAAAAATCTTTAGCTAAAGCTTTTCAAATAAATTCTTTGATTATTAATTTGTGTGCTTGAAGTGGTGATTTTGTTAATCTTCTCCCATATCGAGTAGATATAGGGGAGGGTTACACCACTAGTAGAGGATGAGACAAGGTATCGAAGGTTGAACTATTAATAAGAGGGAGCGAAGACAACAAAAGAGCACAGATTTAAGAGTAATGGATGATTTGATTTCAAAAGTGACATGAAAGCCAAGTGATCTTTATTAAATTAAAATAATTTGCTCTTAATCAACTAATAGCCAACCGTTAACGACTATTAAAATTGGGTGACATTGCCCTCTTTTTAAAAGATTAAGGGCAACATTGCCTTTTTCCTTTGTTAAGTATACCTCACGAGTACAAAAATGACTTTTTATAGCAATTAAAAATGACTTTTTTTATAGCGGTTAAAGAGGCAATATTGTTCCAGGGGATTAAAAAGTCCTCTCTTTTTATATCGGTTATACATCCGATATAAAAGCTAAAATTTTTACATCAGTTATAAAGCCAATGTTGAACATTATATGCAAAAAATTAAAAAAAATTACCTGAAACTTTTTACATTGCTTGGCAGTCCAACTAATGTAAAAACTCAAGATTTTACATCAGTTGACAATCTAACTGATGTAAAAAGCTGAGATTTTACATTAGTTATCACCATAGCCAATGTAAAAAATATTATATTTTATAGCAGTTATAGTAATAACTGATGTAAAAAGTATTTAATTTTTTTATACTATATTTATTTTATCAAATTTACCCATCCCTGTGCATAAAAATTGCCAAAGCCAAATCAAATAGCTCAATTCATTTATAATTGTCTATCAAGTATATATCAACTATACAAAACTATTTAACTATTAAAAAACTAACAATTGTCTAAATTGTGTCAACCATCAAAATTAAAACTTGTCTAACGTCTGTAGATATCTTCAATTTCAGCTTTAAGAAATGCATCTGAATTGTCAAACATCTAAAATTTGATTCACAAAATAGGTGTATTAATTAATCTTAAATAATATAATAAAATAAAAATTTTAAACCCTTGTGTAAATTCGGTCACGGCTAATGTGATGATGTTGAGCATGTCTCTCATAACATATAGACCGCACAAGTTCATCCTTACTGGTTATCTATGACTCTGTATATGAACAAATCATAAGAAATTAGTAAGAAATATTAATAATTGAACATATTAATAAAGTACAGCATCACCTTTGGTTCAATCCACATGAGATCCTTGAGCTCATGTCTATGCTTTTGTAAGACTACATTTTAATATGTGCTCATTACCCTATAATCAAGATCACCAAGTTGGTAAATAATATATTCAGAAAAAATTAAATTAAATAGTTTAATAAAAGTATTCCTACAAGTCTATCATCTTTTTCATTTATTTCCCAAGTTTGTAATGGAAGGAGCATAAAAAGATGATAATGTTGCTCTATATTGAAAGAACAAATAACTTCCAATGTTCTCTGCTAAATATGACACGAGTTAAAGTAAATTCATATTGAAAAAAACTATTAATTATAAATTGATCCTTACGAGTGCACATATGGAGCCATAAAAATGTCCTTTTTGACTTCACATATTCTCTATTGGAGGTACTTGGCCTTTAACTCTAGAGTGTTACCTTTCTCTGTTATCTAATGAGGGCAAAGGAATCCAAACTTATCACCTTTGCCGATGTAATGCACAAATGATGAAGGTACCTATAATAATGCAATTATATTAGTTTATTAAATTTGATGATTAAGTTTACTTACAATAATACAATTATATTAAAGAAAAGCATACTTACATCATAAATAATTCAATCTGTGGTGTGGTAAGCTGATTATTTAACAGAAGTTGAACTAAATCTTCCCATTCAATTATCACTATCATGTCTTTCTTACCTATAACCTCTGAATCAATTTCTAAATTCTCAAATTTGAATGATGCATTATATGCCATTAAGATCATTCGTTGATGCAGAGTCAACAAGGGTTGTGGAAGTTTCAGGAGATTCGATGAGGAAAGCTTCTGCATAATAAAAAAGGTAAGAAATAGCTAATAAAAAAATATATTAGGAAAGCTCCTACATAATAAAAATTATTTATGAAATTCAGTACTACGGCTTGAACTATATTCACAAGTCTCTTGGGCCATAAGGTAAAATTACCAATAGCTTCAACCACAATCTTTACCTCATCAGTAGGGAATAGAACCAATGCATCTGGCACTTTTGGATCTACAACCACTACTCTCACTTGATCATCTTGAATTTTCTTATGGTGGATGGTTGAGCGCAAGCTGCAGATGCTGCTAAGAGCAACCAAGCGCTATTAAGATCTTCCATAAATATCTTACATAGTTTACCAATGTTGTCACTAGAAAGACCCTCTGACACACACTCAAGAATATTACTCCCTTTTGTACTATGAAATCTAGGAAATGTATGAATTGGTTCAGCAATTATCTCTTTGAGTGAGCTCATTATGCTCATCGTCTCCTCCTTCATTTGCTCTTTCATTTATAGAGGCTGAGCTGCAATTAAAGCTTCAAACTCATCCTTAATTTACTGCCTCACAGTGGATATCAATATATCAAGCTCTTCTCTAGTCACTACATCTCCTGAATTGGGACGTGTAGGTGCTCTAAAGTAGTTGTTAATGCCCATACCATATCCAACACCCCTCACATGACCCAAATGAACTAGTTTGCCTATACCAATTTAAAGAAATCATTTTTGCCCTCTAGAATGAAGCTTCCCTGGGCTTGTTGCTCTTTAAGATAATCCTATAACATAAAAATAACAATATTAATTAATAATATATATAATTGTATAGAAATTTAAAGGGACAAGAAACAATAATTTTACTTACAATCCTCTCAGCAATCCCATGAATTGTCTCACTTATACAGCCTCCTTTCTTGTACTGATATCTATATCTCCATTTCTCCTTTGGGAGACAGGTGATAGGGAGACAGGTGATAGTGGAGAAAAGAGTATGGAAGGATCAGATTTAGCTTCTTCTTCTCTCTTCTTCTATTTCTCTACCATTAATATATCATCAGCTCTAACATAACTATCACGAGACAAGGTGTGAGGGCATTGATTCTATTAAGCAATTTCTTGCCCTTTAGCTCGTTTGTCCTATTAATAAATTAAATTTTAGATTTTATAGTTGAAGTAAATCTAAATAAAACTTAAATCAATTAAAAATCAATAGACCAAAGCTTTTTCAAAAGTCTGAATCCTGATAAATTCTTCTCAAGTATCTTCATTAAGGAACTGGTATGTATCAAAAGGATTGGGATGAGCTTGACCCTCTGCCACCTCGATAAATATATATCTTCTAGCAAGATTAGTCTTAAAATTTCTCCAACGTGTTCCATAATAAGAAATCAACTTGTGTCAACCATCATGATTAGATGAAACATCATATGTGAGCTATAATAAAGACATAAGATAATAATCAGTAATTGCCCAATAATATGTAACCATAAAAAATTTTAATTTTTAATTATTTACTTGAATACTTTCCCAAATCTATTCCTTCACACATTCTGGCACATCAAGCCAGTCCTCAAACACAATAAGAGGCTTCGTACGTGATAGGAAGTTGAGAAAACTAACAAACTTAGCTTTATATGGGCCTATTAGATTCCATCTCCTATCAAATTAAATTGGTAACCTACACCCAGCACTCCTACTTAAAGTTAAATCTCTCAATCATGTGCCACGTCTCCCCCTCCTCATAAACTGGCTCTGACTCAACTCCTCACTAAGGGCAACATCACCAATCAATTAGCTTGTAGTAGGCTGGCTCTGAGTGTCATCACCTTGATTCTCCATATTCTTATTAATTTAAATTAATGAAAATAATTAAAAAAATAATCAAAGATAAGATAATTAAGAAAAATAATCCTATAATATAAATTTAATTGAACTAAATCAACATACTTTAATTTCAAAACTAAATTCATATAGGGATATTCTCCCATGTCCCTTCATGGTGATCACTTCTTGTAGCATGTTTGTCATCTACTTCATCTACCACATCCAAAATTGGTAGCCCTGATGAGAAGGTTCATAAATATCAAAATTTGATTCATGATTATCATCACTATCAATCACCCTTTTTTCCTTCAAGTGTTATTGACTAATTTTTATTTAATAGATCCATGACATAGAAAACATATTTAGCTTGGCCTACCATAATAAATGGCTCATCTCCAAAGTTAGTTTTTTTAAGATCAACCATTGTAAATCCTAACTTATCATCATGAATATTGTTGATGTCAATCTACTTGCATTTGAAAATAGGAACTCTAAATTTTGTATAATCAACCTCCCAAATCTCTTTAATTACCCCAAAATAAGTCCTGAATACTAGTTTAGGTTTCTTATCTTTTGAACTAGAGAAGTGAACGGCTTTACTCCACTATTTTACACCATACTCTTCTCGTCCAAGGAATTTGTATAAAAGGAATACCTATTAATATCATAGGTACTCCAACAAATAACATCAAAGTTAGGACCTTCAGCCTATGATTTAACTGTATTAGAAACACTACTTTCATTCAAAATTTTCTACTTGAACTAGTCTACAAAAGTCCTATTGTGCAGTTTCGATAACTTTTGTTCAGTCATTCTCATTTGATAATTTTCTGCCTTTAGAAGTTCTTTATGAGAAGATATGTAATTTTTAACTTCATCAATATTATTCAAGATATAAAAATGTACTTCTTGTAATTCATCATGATTCATGCTCTTCACTAATACCTCACGTGTGCCTTGACCATTTGCCTTCTCTCATGATGAGATTTAGGAAGTCTAATTGATTCTATACTTGACAATTAATCAAAACAAGACTTCATAGCTTCTTCAGCAATATATTTCTTAACTATCGATGCCTTAGGTCAATATGGATTATTGACATACCTTATCAATATATTTCTTGACATGCCTTAGGAAGTCTAATTGATTCTATGCTTTCCCATTTCCACGTAGGAATATCCAATGGTGTGTAACATTCCTGTTAGTCTTTGGTGCTCTATTTTAACCTTCTAATAAGTCAAACATCGAGTTACGAACTCTGTTATGTCTTTCTTCATACTAGGCCACCACCAATACCGTTTCACATCTTGGTACATCTTTGTAGCTCTCGGATGGATTGTGTATTTACTACAGTGAGCCTCATTCAAGATAACCTTTCTCAAATACACATCATCAGGCACACAAATCCTATCCTAGCAAACCATAAAACTATCATCATTGAATTCAAACTCAATAGTCTGATCTACTTCAATCTCTTCTTTAATCTTCAAAAGACTCTTATCTTCTAGTTATGCCATTCTCAATTCCTTTCAGGAATAATTGCTAATCTTAGTGAAATAGGCACCAACTAATGCTATCAATGGTGCATCCTACTATGACTCAATGAAGGACTCCATAAATCAATATTCCTTAACCATAAGATTCACCACATGCAAAGTTTTTCGGCTCAAAGTATCAGCAACCAGATTAGCTTTACCTGAATAGTATTTCAATTCAAAATTATAATCCTTAAAAAGCTCCATCCACCTTCTTTGCCTCATATTTAGTTCCTTTTGATCTACCAGGTATTTTAAACTCTTATGGTTGATAAACACAATGAACACTGTACCATACAGGTAATGGCACTAAATCTTTAGAGCAAACACCATTGTGACAAGCTCTAAATCATGCACAGGATAATTTTATTCACATGGTCTCAATTGTCATGAAGCATAAGCTACCACTTGACTATCTTGCATCAAGACACAACCAAGACCTTTCAAAGATGCATCAGTATATACCTCATAAGGTAACCTTAGATTAGGGATAATCAATACTGGTGCTATGGTTAATTTCTCTTTCAGCTTTCAAAATGCCACTTTACACTAGTCATCCTATATATAAGGCTGATCTTTTCGAGTTAGTTTAGTCAAAGAAGAAGCTATCTAGAAAAATCCTTAGATAAGTCGTTGATGATACCCAGCCAATCCCATAAAACTACGTATCTCTATAATTGAACTGGGATGTTTCCATTTCAACATGGCATCAACCTTATGTGGATCTACTAAAATTCTATCTGCTGACACCAAGTCTCCTAAAAACCTCACTTCTCTTAACCAAACTCACCACTTATTAAGCTTGGCATACAACTTTTGGTCTTTCAAAATCTGTAGTACTATTCTCAAATGCCTTACATGTTGCTCCTCATTCTCAGAATAGATCAGGATGTCATCTATAAAGACCACTACAAATTGATTCAAGTACGGCCTAAAGATTCAGTTCATATAATCCATGAATACTGCTAGTGCATTGGTCGAACTAAAAGGCATAACCAAGAATTCATAATGGCCATACCTAGTTCTGAAAGCTATCTTGGGTACATCTATTACACTAACTTTTTAACTAATGATACCTCAACCTCAAATCAATCTTAGAAAAGACTGAGGCACCAGCCAATTGATCTAAAAGATTATCTATCCTTGGTAGAGGATACTTATTCTTTACAGTTACCTTGTTCAATTGCCGGTAATCAATACACAGTCATAAATTGCCATCCTTCTTTCTCACAAATAATACTAGTAATCCCCAAGGTGATACACTTGGTCTGATGAATCCCTTCTCTAACAAATCTT